AGACGCCCTGCAGCTGTTGCTTGTCCATGAGACCTCTGGCCTCCTACCTGGAGCCCAAACTACCAGACTGTTGACTCTTCTGCTGGCCCTGATATAGGTGGCCCTCAGGGTTGGCAGAGCTATGGGACCACCTGGGCTAGCTGAGGACATCGTACAGGCCCTTTGGGTGTGGGCTTTGGTCGGAGGGTTGCCTCAGGAGGTACATCCCCCATCTCCAACTTCACAGCCTGCCCTTAGCAGCAGTGACAGTCGGTGTGGGTTCTGAGCATGCTCCCCTGGTCTGGCCTCACTTTGTGTTCTCTTTCATCAGGTCTGGCAAACCATGGACAGACCAGGCACATGGTAAGAATGGGTGACTAGAGGTTTGGCATGCTTCTGTGTGCGTACACATCCCTCAAGGTGTTGGGGAAGTGGCCCAGGTAGCAGCTCCCACTCCTCACCAGGTGCCATGGAGAGCATCCGGGAGCCCTGGCCAGACCTAACAGGTAGCGTGGACCCAGTGCATTCAGGTCTCTACAGCCCTCCAGGGGTTCCCTACCTAGCCTGTGAGGTAGGGAACCTTGAGGCCTGGCTGCCCAGGAGGTTAGGGTCTCCGGCTGAGGATCATAAGGTTAAGATCAGGGCACCATCTTCCTGTGTTCATATCTCTTGTTCACCACAGGGACCAAGTCGGAATCTCCTGCTCAATGGAAAGTCCTACCCCACCAAAGTGCGCCTCATCCGCGGTGGTTCCCTGCCTCCAGTCAAGCGGCGGCGAATGAACTGGATTGACGCCCCGGATGATGTGTTTTACATGGCCACCGAGGAGACCAGGTTGGAGCCTTTTCTGGGACAGGATGGGACGGGAGTCCCCGCTCCCACCTTGTGGTTTTTATTGGCTGACCTCTTCCCTCCCTCAGGAAAATTCGAAAGCTGCTCTCCTCCTCAGAAACCAAGCGTGCTGCGCGCCGGCCCTACAAGCCCATCGCCCTGCGCCAGAGCCAGGCCCTGCCGCTGCGGCCACCCCCGCCCGCACCAGTCAATGACGAGCCCATTGTTATTGAGGACTAGGCGGTCACCCACACTGTGGCCTGCCGGGCCTCCATCAGCCCCAGAGTATCCATGAGGCCTGCAGAGACCAAGCGGCCTCCCTCCCCCACCAGACTGCTGCCCACCCCACCCTCTGTTTCCGTAGTGCCCCAACTCCCGCCCTCACATGCAGAGAAACTGCTCCTCTGGTGGACATGCGGGGGAAGAAGTGTGGTCTAACTTATTCCAAGACACCGAGGAGTCTTTTTTAGCTTTGTGTTTACTTTCTGGCTGGAGCAGAGATGAGGCGTGCCCTGGGCCTTGTGCTGCAGGGCTTCTCACCCGGGGTGGGCTCTAAGGTTTTGTTGTGTTCTGTTGAAGGTGCCATTTTAAATTTTATTTTTATTACTTTTTTGTAGATGAACTTGAGCTCTGTAACTTACACCTGGAATGTTAGGATTGGTGCAGCCAGCAGTGGCCAAGCTGCCTGGCAGGGTTGGTCCCTTGTCTTTTCAAGTAATTTTCATATTAAACAAAAACAAAGAAAAAAAATCTCATAAAAAGGAAAACCCCAGCAAGCCCTTCTGTGTCTTTTGTTCCCAGTCCCTCTCCTCGTTTAGGGCATCGAACCCGCCCTGCTCCGGTACCCAGAATCCCCAAGGCATCCCTTGGTAGAAAGATGAGAAGTAGCAACAGGCTGGGGTCAGCTCAGTGCTGAGGGCTTTATCCGGGCTGGCGGAGCAAACCACTCTGAGACGTATTCCTGCAGGCCTTTGGCCCAGTGCCTGCTGCCCTCCAAGACCACTGAGAACCACCGCTTTGAAGTTGTGCAGAAACTGTCTCGTGTGCCATAAAGAGAGCTGACCCTACCTGAGGCCCCACAACTTGTTTCTACCTGGGTCAGCTTGGCACAGAAGCTTCAGGACCAGGGCCCACCCCCCTGTGCCCAACAGATGCCTTGCCCCAGCTGTCAGGCTCTGCTAAGCCGTGCTGCCCGGGCAGGTGTGCTTTTCTCAAGAATTTGCTCATATTTCTGCTCAGAAATCCTATCTCCGCCTGCGCCTATCCTTGTAGGCCTAGAGACAGGTGCAGGCCTGGCCAGCTACGGGAGGGAGGGAGGTCTGGCTCCGCAGACCGTCAGCCCTCAGGCTGCTGCCTCTCAGCTGGCCAAGAGGGTCAGATAGACCCTTTGTGGGAACAGTGGCGTCTTTGGGCCCCTGCCTTCTGCTCCTGCCCTATTCAGGCGCCTGTGACGTGTGGAAATCTCAGACGGGATTAAAATAGAAACCATTTATGTTCCCACTTGGGATACAGATAAGGGGTATCTCAGCTTCCCTGAGCTTGTGATGGGGCTTATCAGGGTGACAGACCAGGTGTCTGGGACAGTGCTGTGACACATGCCCTACTCGTGTCCCTAGGGTCATTGGGCTTCTCCCAGGAGATCTGGCCTCTACCTTGTCCGCCATTACTGGAGGACTCCAGGCTCCAAGGGCCTCCTGTGAGTCCCTTTCCCATCTGGGAGTCTGCAGGGAGCATGGCTCAAGCCAGCTACAGATGAAGCCCCTTCTGACCTAGTTCCCTCAACTTTCCTCAGGCACTGGTCTTTTTCCAAAGGCTGTCCTTTTCAGACTTCAGGCTGGGTACCGAGATGTTCCTAAGTGGGCTCCAATGCCCACTATAGAAACAGGGCCAAGTGTGTCCGAGGCTGTGTGTCTACCTTTGACTGATTGGACATTCAAGCCAAGGTGAAGAATGAGAAGTGGACATAGGTTGGTGCCCTGTGGGCCCAGGAAAGTAATCTACTCTACCTGAAGGCATTTAATGAGGAAAATGGGTAGGGCCCATTCTACCATTCGACGGTGGTCAGGCAGTCATGACCCGAGACCCAAGAGACTGGTGCTAACTTGAAGGCAGGACACGAAGGCTCAGAGCCTGCATTCCAGGCCTTGCCATGCCTAGCCATGTGTTCCCTCCAGTAGATCTGTGACCCTGCCCTATGAAGAGAGAATTCCAAGGTATTTCTTATCTTGTTGGGGCCCTAGAGAAGGGAGCGGTTGCCCTGCTGGTCCACACCACACCGTCTACCACACTGTGTAGGTGACGAGAGGACCCAGTAACGGATGATTGGCTTGGGAATCAGGGCACAAATGAAGTCTTCCTAGCTCTGAAAGAAGGGACCCTCTCCCTACCTCTTTCTTCCCTTGGCTGGTGTGTGTTGGAATGTGCCTCTCTGTGCCTGCCCATGCCATCCTGTTACTGCCCTTTGGCCCTCAGCCTCAGGTGTGGAGACCAAGGCCACAGGTCGTCATTGGCCAATGTGCCTTCCTGCCAAGCTCACAACAGCCCTGTAGCCCTTCATCATTGTCCAGGGACCCAGCAGAGGAGGTAGGACAAAAGCTGCAATTAAGCTCTCTTGCTTGGCCCTAGCCAGTATTACCTGCCATTCTTTTGCCCGCTGCCCCCTGGAGGAGGCCTACTCCTACCCACTCTTTCATTTGGGCTGGGCGCCCTTGAGGCCTTTTCAGAAGACTAACTGTGCCTAGCCCAATCAGGCCTGCCTTAAACCACAAATCTTAGTGGTTGGGTGGTCAGGCAGGCTGGTACCTAGGGTCCACGAGGACTCCTGAGACAGGAAGCTGGAGAGGGCACAGTAATGGATGCTTGCGTTGGAAGTCAGGACACCTATGAATTCAGCCTGAACAGGAACCTGGCTATGAATGAAGGGTCTGTCCAGGAAGGCTTCCTTGCCTGCCTCTCACCTTGGCTGGCATGTGCCCACAGGTGCCAGGGGGAGCTGGTCTGGCTGGTCAGTCAGGCTTGGAGGGGGTGGCATATGTTTCTGGGCGTTTGTCACCATGGAAATGGCAGTTCCTGCAAGATATGTGTGCAAAGGAAGGGCTAGCACATGGAGACATAGTAGGCCGGGAGTCACCAACATACCTGACACCCCCTTGGCTCCCAATCCATGGACTGGACAGAGAAATGAAATATGGGTGTCCAGCACAGCAGCAAGGGAGGTGTGGGAGGGATGTCTCTGGAGTCAGCTGTCCATACTGGGTCGGATCATCAGGGTTTGGGACTTGTAAGGTGTCTCTTTCCCAGAACCAAGGCCCAGGTTGGTCAAGAGGCTCAGAGAGAGGCCTGTGGGTCCATGGGAGTCAGAAAGTAAGGAGGGTGGGACAGCAAGCTAGCCTTTAGTGGGAAGGAGAATGGGAGGGGACTATTCTGAGGTCAAGCAAGGTGGGAGACCCGATCTGGAAAGCAGGATTTCTGGCTCTGCTACTCTACAGAATGCACTGGGGCCAGAATTCTGGGAGTCAGAGACCTAGTCTAAGGAAGAGTGTCAGCAGTCCCACAGAAGGGGGTATCAGCCCGCAACACTTGACCGCGGAGGAAATTCGCAGGTACCCTATTCCTCCAAGGATAAAAGTGCCTTAGAGGCAAGTGCACCTGCGGCTCCTTCAGAGCCTGCACTGGCTGACTCCACCCTGCCCCCACTCATCCCAGTGGTTTCTTAAGCTGTTTTTGGAAGTGGTGGCGCTTACAAGTGAGCCTCGCCCGCCCCTCCTTCAGCACCACAGACAGGACCGCGGCGCCCCGCCCGGAATCCGATGCTTCGTGCTTCTGTGCTGCGAGCCCGTTGCTATAGAAACCAGGCAACAAAGGGAGGCGGTGCTGGGAGGCGGGAGTGGTGGAGGGTGGGGGGCGTTCCGCGGGTTTCTCATGCCCCCTCCTACCACGAGCAGGCCCGGGCCTCGAGACCTAAAGCTGGGGAGCCAAAGTCTGCTCTCCAACTAGAGATCACAGTGTGGCCATGGAATCCTCGGGCGATCCCTGTGGATGCCACCTCACTCCGGGGTAGGGGGCGCTAGGCCGGGCCCTTCCGACCCTGGCAGGTGCGCCCCGCCTGCAGCGCGCTCTGCTGCCGCGTCCAGGGGGCGGGCTCCGGAGGCCCCGCCCAGGTCTCGGAGCCAATCGACGTCCGGGGGCGGGCGGGGCAGGCGCGGGCGGCGGCGCAGAGAAGAGCGCGGGTGGAGGGCGCGGACCGACCGAGCGCACCGACCATGGCCTCCAAGTGTCCCAAGTGTGACAAGACCGTGTACTTCGGTGAGTATCCACCCGCCGTCCGCCTTCGCCTCCAGGCTCCCGGCTGAGGGCCACACCCCGTAATGTACACGGATGGGGTGCGCAGCCCCGGTCTTGGGATGCGCGATCCGTAGCTAAGCTCGCCACGCTGTTTTCGCGGGTGCGGCCCGAGGCTCGAAGGTAGTGCTGCGCGGGGCGAGGGAGGCCACCTGGGATCCTGGAGAGGCGGATGGCGTCGGGTGGGTTCGGAAGCGCTCGGTAGGCACTGGGCGAGGTACTCAAAGTCCCGGGCGGCCCGGGCTAGGAGCGCCCTCCTGGCCGCCCTCATGTTCAGCTTATCGCCCTTCTTCAGCGACACTCTTCGGGGCGGGATCCAATGAGGTCCGACGCCCGGAGACTGGTCCGTTGAGATCCTCTGGGTCCTTATCTCCTCCTCACCCTGTGGCTGCCTCTCAGTCACCACATGGGCCCACTAGTCTGACCCGAAGGAGTGACCCCAGTGCTCTGCCCAGGCCGCTGGACCGGGTCTAGGATTCCGGATTCAGTCCAAGCGGGGGCGACCTTGGCTTCTGCCTCTTACGTGCCCCAGCTTGCTCCCTTTCTTGGCCATTTGCCTCGGCAGTTTCACCCGGGGTGGGGCACCGGTGACACGTATTTCTCCATGAGCTTGAAAGTGCACTGGGTGACTAGGACCCTGGGCTCTTGGAGGTCAAGGCCATCAGGGAAGGAAGCTATGGTATGCAGGTATTAGTTCCTGCTAAGGTAGCCCCTGAAGGCAATCACCTTTATCAAGCATCCCCTGGTCCCTGATCTGCTAATCCCCTGGGGCTATGCTCCTAGCTGAGCAACTTTGCCAGAGTAGCAGTGTAGCTGCCACTGAAAGGTAGACTCAGGGCCAGATAGAGGAAGACGGGAGCCTGAAAAGGCAGGATCTCTTCTGCTCTTCCCAGAACAGTAGTCAATGTCCAGATCAGTGAACTTCTTCAGATGACGGGAGTAGAGGAGAGGCCACTTTTGTTTGTTCCCAGAGTGGAGGGACCGGATTTGGCTTGGAGTTGTTCTGGGTGGCCTGGAGCCAGGGGTTTCCTGTTGCCTCCTGGAGGGGACAGATTGCCCGACTTCAGTCATTTTACTACAGTGAGATGTCTAACAAGTTCCCTGAGTGAGGACAGTCCTCAGGGCCGTTCTGTATGACTTTGGTCGAGACCAGGCCAGCTCTGGACTCTCTGGGGCCTTGGCCAACAGGCCACCCGGAAAAAAGCACTCTGCCTGCTTGGGCGCCTCTGGCTCTCTGCAGAAAACAAAGGCTCCTCAGAGTCGGCTGGCTACTGTTCTGTGGTGAGGCAGTGGGGGTCCAGAAAGCTGCCCTTTCTGACCAGCTAGGCTGCAGCCTAGCAGCCCACTTCTGAGTAAACTCTAGGCCCAAGGGACCCCGGGGTGCTGTGAGTCTGATTTTCTTCCAGAATACATGACCAAGTAGGGAGACCGTTCCCTTCCAAGCTATTAGACCTGATCAATGCTGTAGTCCCAATTTGGGTGTGTAATGAGGCCATCGACCGAACCAATGGGTCTGAGGGTCAGCTCCCTGCCCCTACATGGCCCACATCCCAGAGCTGGCCAGAACATAGTGGTTTTGGCAGCCTTGAGCTGCAGCTGCCACAGCCACCGACGGCCATCCCAGCAACCTCCTTATCACTGTCCTGAGAGAGAATGCCAGACAGTTATGGGAGCCAAGCCCACTTTCCATCCGGGTAGCTCCAGCCTGTTCTGGCTTGGATGTCGCAGGCTCACCTGTGTCTTAGCATCACAAAGGAAACTAAACCATACTGTCCAGGGCGAGGATCTGGGGGGTTCAGCAAGTTAGGGCTGTGGAGAGCCAGACTCAGCCGCATGGAGGATCCAGGCTTTCTGCCCAGCAGGAGCACTTCCCAGTGGGGGGAGGGGGGCTCTCAGAGTAGGCCGTGCTCCCTGGTATTTGCCAAGGTTGTCCAGAGGAGGCATGGGGCATGGCCCCAAAGGGACCAGCAGGCTGCTGTTGAGAAAGGAAGGCTGGAGAGCTAGCTGTTTCTGTTATCCTCAGAGTGGAGTGCCAGAGCCAAGCCAAGCAGAACACCCCTCCCTCCTCCCCCGCCCGCCACTCTGGCCTGGCCCCTTCCCTTTGGAATTCCAGTTCTGCTCTCAGCTCAGGCCCTTCTTCCTGCACACTTCTCCACCCTTTTCCTGCCTTACTCCCTTGGGGGAGGCCCAGGCTTCCGTCCATTGGGATGTGGCTGGGCAGTAGTCATTGCCCTGACAGTTGCGGGGTGGGGTCCACAACCCTCAACTGCTGGTCACAAACCTTTGGCGCCAAACTGGCAGCTGGAGGCAGTGGGCGGAGTGAGATCTCGAGGCTTAGGGATGAAGAACCCAAATAGAGATCTTTCCCGGGGGTCCTGCGGCAGCCAGGGCTGGTGTTCCCTCACCTGGTGCTGAAGATCAAGGGTTTTTCTCTTGTTAGTGGGACTCTGTCTGGCTCTGTGGGGAGCGGGAGAGGTGTGAGGAGACACACCATGAGGGTGGGGCGGGACTTTGAGGAACAGGTCTAAATAGGCACAGTGAGCAGACACTGAGGGGTTAAACCAAGCTCATGGGCTGAGTCTACTTCAGGACGAGCAAGGACAGAGGGCTCCAGGATGGCTGAAGGAGTCTCTGTAAACAGTAGCCTGATCTCCGAGTCACCATGGGTGGGGTGGGAATGGAGCTTGACATCTGCCAGGGAGCCTGGAAACTTCTGGAAGAAGAGAAACAGGCATGCTGCTTTAACCTTCTCCTCTTCTTCCTCCTCCTCCTCCCTCCTCCCTCCTCCTCCTCCAGCCGAGAAGGTGAGCTCCCTGGGCAAGGACTGGCACAAGTTCTGTCTCAAGTGTGAACGCTGCAACAAGACACTGACCCCCGGCGGGCACGCTGAGCATGATGGGAAACCCTTCTGTCACAAGCCCTGTTATGCCACACTGTTTGGACCCAAAGGTAAAGTAAGCAGGGTCCCAGGCAGGCCTCAGACCTGGGACAGCTCCTGCGTGTGCTGGCTGGGGCTCTGTCTGCTCTTTCCTTCTCTGTGTCCCTCCTACCCTGAAATCCATGAAGCACCTTTGGGAGAAGCTCTGTGTGAGATGGGTGGGGTCGGGGCCCCCCCAACCATTAAATCTCCTGACGTGACTGCCCTCTGCAGGTGTGAATATCGGGGGCGCTGGTTCCTACATCTACGAGAAGCCTCCGACGGAGGCCCCTCAGGTCACTGGTCCCATCGAGGTCCCTGTAGTGCGAACTGAGGAGCGGAAGACCAGCGGGCCCCCCAAGGGTCCCAGCAAAGGTGGGACAGGCTTTGGGTGGGGGATTGGATATAGGTGTCCAAGGTCCACCCTGACCCAGTTCCACCTCTCCAGCTTCTAGTGTCACCACATTCACTGGGGAGCCCAACATGTGTCCTCGATGCAACAAGAGAGTGTATTTCGGTAAGTGACTGACTACCCAGCCCCCTGACTCGAGAGACATTGTGCCTGGGAGGGGGGGAGTTGGCATTACCACCACCCTTCTCCCTCCCAGCTGAGAAGGTGACCTCCCTGGGCAAGGACTGGCACCGGCCCTGCCTGCGCTGTGAACGCTGCTCCAAGACACTGACTCCGGGCGGGCATGCTGAGGTAAGGGGTGCGGTTGTGCGGTGTAGGAGGAGACGGAGAAGAAAAGCATGCTGGAGTAAGGATTCAGGAATTCTACCACTGGGAGGCTCCCTGACCTGGGGTTGCCCTAGGCTAGATATACTGCCCTGTGGCCACTAGAGGGCAGATTCTGCAGATGCACCCTGGGGCTCTGCTATTCCCTTCAAAGTGAGTGGGCATGACCTTTGACCCCTAAGAGTCCTCAGGGAGCTGACTACCACATCATGAAGGTCTCAGCGTATCTGGGGAAGTAAAGGAAGAGGGGGTGGTCTGTTCTCAGTACTCCCTTTACACTGCCCACAGCATGATGGCCAGCCCTACTGCCACAAGCCTTGCTATGGAATACTCTTTGGACCCAAAGGTGAGTCGAGCCGGGGTAGAGGAGGTAAGGACCTTTCTCCTTCCCCCAATCCCTGTTCGCTCCTGCTCAGCCACCCCGGGGTGCTTTTCTCCACAGGAGTGAATACTGGAGCTGTGGGCAGCTATATCTACGACAAGGACCCAGAAGGCACAGTTCAGCCTTAGAGCTGAAGGTGCTGTCCTCGGGGTCCCCTATTTGACCCTGAGGCAAAGTGACCTGTCGCCTCATCCTGCCTCAGCATGTCTTGCCTGCAAATCCAGGACCTAAGTGGTGGAGGAGAAAGCCTGGGTAGTCCCCTTCATCACCTTGGCATGCCCTGTGTTGCCCACAGTTTTACTTTCTGTCTGTGTGCCTCCATAGCCCCCATGGATCCTGTGTTCCTGTACCCAGCATTCTCTCTGTCCCTGTGTCCCCATGTCCCTGATACCTCTCCGAGGTGGCTGTCCTGTGAGGTCCCTTTGCCCACACCTGCCCACCAGTATTATTTATGCTCTGCTTGCTGGTGATGGCCATGAGCTCACAGCATACCCAGGGTGACGGCACCCCTGCAAGGAGCCCTCTGCTGGCTCCCACACTACTTACTTACCTTCACACGGTTCACAGCTATGGAGACTTTTGCCGTCAATAAATAGTTTGGTTTGAGGATTGCAGGACCCAGTGTTGTGTTTGTGTGTGGGGGAAGTGGGGGTGTGTGTAAACCCAAGACCATGTCCCTTTCTCTCTCCACAGACATCCCTTTGTACCCCCTTGGGCCCAGTATTGGTGGGGATATATAGTTCAGCCTTCTTGGGAGGCCGATTTAGGGAGGCATCCGTGCCAACGCTGAACTGTGTGGGAAGCAGGGAGGGGGTGGCACTGGGCAGAGGTGAGGAGGAAAGGGGTCCATTTGATGGGCAGATAGGATCCATTAAGGGCACAGCTCTGAAGCTGTAGAGGTGTGAGGCCTGGTTGAGGTAGAGCTTCAGGCCACCTATGGTGAGCATGGAGGAACACCTCACAGGTGTGTGAGGTCCAACTGGGAACCATGTAATGAGGCCTGGAGGCGGAGACCAGAAAGGTCCTGTGCAGAGCATGGGGAGCTGGTGAGAACGGGGCGGAACCTGAAGTGGACAGTTTGACCAGGCTCAGCAATGACCATTTCCTGCTATGTCCAGGGGACAAGGCCTTTGACCACCCTGGCTTGTCTCTAGTGTAGGGCCAAGGAAGAGAATGAGGACAGTCTGTTAGGCAAGGGTCTAGTTAACTGGGTTTGTAGTGAGGCAGTGAGCCACTGTCTCACGTGGCCCAGCTTCTGAGACTGGAACCCGCTTCTCGCAGTGGGCGTGTCCTTCCTTCACGTGCTTTTCCCCGAATGCCCACTAGACGGCGCCCCTGCATTTTGGTGGCGCTTGGGGGACTTTGTTTGATCTGCCCTAGCTAGTCCTGCTCCCTTCAATCCAAATCTCAGAGTGTCTGGGCTAAGTGGCTCCCAGATCTGGTCACTGCCACCGGCCAAGAAGGCTTTTCAGGTTTGTCCCTGGCTTCTCGTCCAGCCCTTAGGCCACTGACACAGGTGTGACTGTGTCTGGGGCTACTGTCGTGTATGCACACGTCATACAGGACATAACGTCGTGTCCCTGGCCGCAGAGTCTGGGGTCTGCCCTTCTCTTCACCCTTGCCAAGGGAGGTCCAGCAGGTATTGGGCTCTGGGACTCCTCCCCCATATGACCTCTCCCACCAAGAGGCCGGTTCTTGGCTGCACATTTTGGATTGAGCTTGGCAGCTCTAGTTGGTTAGCAGTGCGTGGGAGTAGAGGGGACGATGAATTTTCAGTCCTCCGGGCAGAAAAACTTCTACCAGTTCAGCCTGAAGGAAGCGAGAGGGCGGGCCCTCCTCGATCCTGGGCGGGCTCTTTGAAGGGGAGAAGGGGATTCCCCTGGTTGGGTCACGAGGGCAGGGGTCTTCCCAGGGCAAATCCATCCCCACCCTGCGGCCAGCTTTGCTGTACATCGGAGGGGCGGGGCAGGATCTGGCCTTTTCCTGCTGAGGAAGATGACGTTGCTTGGTGTTTGTTTCCAAGGAGTTGTCGTGGAAACGCGGCGGTGCTGCGACTGTTTGTCTGGGTCTTGTTGCCAGGCGGTGTCCGTTGCATTGCCAGGTCGCGTCAGTGGCACCAGCTTCCGACGCATCCAAGATGGGGGAGAGAATAGAAGCCTTTGTCTGGCATCCACCCTTCTGGGAGGGTGCCCTGAGCTTTCCGATCTCCCAAATAAACACCTAGACTCCGAGATGACTCTAGATGCCAACAGACCACCTCACTCCATTTTAAATTCTGTCGAGCCCAGAACCTCACAAGGAGACTCAGCCCAGGCTTCTCTGCACGGTTTAGTTCCAGGAGTTCCCCTGACACGTCCTACCACGAATCCCACGTATCTAGCCTTGCTGTGCTCTGGAATCTTCCTAGCTCCTCTCTGCTTACCAGTATACTCAGCTGGACTTCTTTATGGGGTACCCAGCCTACAGCTCCTTCTCTCCACTTACCTTAATCTTAGGTCATCTGGCCAACACCCTAGCATCCTCCCTCCTGCCTAGCCTTGCTTCTCCTGGACCAGCGACTCCTGCATCGGCCCTGGGAACCCTTCTGCCCGAGTCTTCCTCAAGTTCCTGGCTGCCTGCTGATCCCATTTATCTCAGGATCTGACATGGCTGGCCCTGCTCACTGGCTGCTGGCTGAAGCCCGTGGGCAGGGTATCAAAAGGATCACCATGTGCTAAGTGCTCTGACTATTGAGTGGGTACAGTTCGGGCTGGCCAGAGCCCAGGGTGCCAGGTGTGGGCAGCCCTTTTTCCCAGGCCAGACTGCCTGCGGGGGTGGGCTCCAGGCCATCAGCTGCTGGTTTGGAGAGACTGGAATTCCAGACGGTTCTTTCTGGGCTTTGGCTCCAGGAAGCAGCCACTGGACACTGGGCAGGCCATAAGAAGGCAGAGCGTGGGGTACCCCATCTGACCAGATTATAGGGTGTAGGTAAAAAGTGTAGTCCTACTGTGAGAAGGGTAGCTAAGGAGCCCTGTTTCCATTGTCTACCACCCCCTTCCTGGCTATGACACGTTACTTCTGGAAAAGGAAGAATGTAATTGCTGTCCGCCTAAGCCTGAGGTATAAGGCCCGAGGGGCTGAAGAACCTGTCTGGGAAGCAGTGTGCAATCCCTTCTGATTCTGGTCAACCATTCCAGCAGACCCACCCTAGGGCCAGATCTTGTGCCAGACGGGGGTCCCTGGAGACGGGCTGCTGAAAATAGACCCTGGGAACTTGTAAATGTCTTCCACTGGTCTGAGGGGGGAGAGGAGGGTGGGCCCTAGGGAGGCCTGTGCTGTGTATGTCTGGGCTCTGCATGTTCTTTAAAGTGTGTGCCGGCAGCATTTGCACCTGAGAGCAGAGGACATAGGGCAGGCTCAGATGACCTCCAGCCTTTGGATGGACATCTCCACACGTGACTACACCCTCAGCCAGGTACCAGCAGAGCCAGGAGATGAAAGTAGTTTTTGCGACACTGCAGAGGCCCCTCCCTGAGGCGCTGAGCTTTCCTAGTGGGAGTGGGTATTGAGATTCCTCAGTGGTCACCAGCCCACGGGGCTAAGCCCTACCTTCTCTGGTTGGCCTCGGGGTGTGGTATCCCAGCCAGTGGAGGGCGCATGGGTGTGTACAGAGAAGGCTTGAGCAGATAGATCATGGTTCTGCGTCCTCCCCTCCCCCATAGCCTCTATGCTGTCCTGGTACCAGCAGTGGAGAGATCACAGTATGCCCTTTGGGTGCTTGTGCAGAACACACCAGGCCTTCACTTGGCCCAGGAGACCTGGTCAGTTATCCTCCTCCAGGGATAGCCTGGGGTAAGAGGAGGCAGGTGAGAGTACAGAGCTGGGCCTCAGGAAGGCTGGCAGGACTTTGACACCGGCTGAGCCTCAGCCAAGAGGATTGAGGGCTGAGGCTAGTGGTCTGACTAGCAGCAGCAGTGTGTGTGTGTGTGTGTGTGTGTGTGTGTGTTTGTGTGTGTGTGTATATGTGTGTGTGTGTGTGTAGGGGGGCATTTGCAGTCACTATGGAAGCTATGAAAGAATCCCCTCCTCCCCACCCCTTTGTAGTTCTGGTTATTTTTTGAGTCAGTCTCATTTAGCCCAGGCTGGCCTCAAATGATCTATGGAACTGAGACTTGTTTTGAATCCTCTTGCTTCCACCTCCAAATGCTGAAAGAGAGTTCTCAGGCCAAGAGCAGGCTCATGTATTTCCAAGGCAGATGTGACATTTGAGGGAGTGAAGGGCTGTGAGCAAAGTAAACAAGGATGGTGTTGCTTTATCTCTTCATCATCCCTGGTTTTTCTCTTTTCTTTTTCCTCCCTCCCTCCCTCCCTCCCTCCCTCCCTTCCTCCCTCCCTCCCTCCCTCTCTTCCTTTTCTTTATTTCTTGACAGGGTCTGGCTCTGTAGCCTCAGCCTCTGGCGTGACTCTAGCCCATCACGGGCCTGTGAAGCCATGCCACGGCTTGTGCGAGTCTTTGTGTCTCTAAGTGGGTACGTCTGAGTGGAATGTCTGGAAAAAAAAAACTGCTGTGTACCAACAAAGAAGGTATCAGCCCTTGGCCCCTGCCTTGGCATCCCTCCCATGGCCATGGCAACAGGAAACAACATTAGGGAAGGCTGAGAAGGCTCCTGTGGCTTGGAGGTGTCGGGAGGGTTCTCCAGTGGTGCAGGGTGGGGCCAGAATTCAGGAGTGGGAGAAGGAGCTATCTCCGGGGTGGGGCTGTGGGTGGAAGGAACGTGGACAGGGTTATTGACCCACCTACCTCAGCACATGTCTCTTGGGTGAGAGGTAGGAAGAGTCTGTCAAGAAGTCCCTGGGTGTTAGCTAGGTAGTGGTAGCATACAACGTTAGTCCCAGCACTCAGGAACAAGAGGCAGGGAGATCTCTGAGTTCGAGGCCAGCCTTGTCTACTGAGAGAGTTCCGGGACAGCCTAGGCTACACAGTGAAACCTGTCAGGAAAAAAGAAAAAACAAGCCAGGTGGTGGTGGCGCACGCCTTTAATCCCAGCACTTGGGAGACAGAGACAGGCGGATTTCTGAGATCAAAGCCAGCCTGGTCTACAGTGTGAGTTCCAGGACAGCCAGGGCTATACAGAGAAACCCTGTCTTGAAAAACCAACCCCCCCAAAAAAAAAACCACAAAAAACAAAACAAACAAGGTCCCTGAGTGTAGATATATAGAAACATAGCTATTTGCTCTGAGAGAAACCATACATGGGACAGTAGAGCCACCCCAAAGGGTATTTACCTCACAGGTATGCCTGCAGGCCCCAGGATATACATGTGCATCCAGGCATTCAGCCCCTGACATATGTACACACACACACACACACACACAAACACTCACACACCAGAGGGGAGGCAGTCTGCCAGGTGCCTTGTGCCTCCACCCAGTGCACACCCCTGGCAGGCAGTAGTTGACTTCTTCCATGGACAGTGAGGTAGTGTGCTTTGTTTGTGGCCAGGCCCCAGGGATCTGCGGTGGTAGAGACACCACCCTTCCAGATGGGCCTGGGCCTCTCTGGCCTCTCTTTCTATCACCAAAGGCTTTGCTCAAATCTCTCCTTCCAGAACCTCTGCCCATAGCATGTCCTCC